TTTCAGAACACATCAGGACAAGGCAGGAGAAGGGTTTTATTTTGCACACACTCAAAGAGCTAGAGTGCGGGCCCTTGGGAGGGAAAGGCGCCTTATTTCCTGGAACAGGGAACGTTTGTTCTTCTCTTGAGGGGTGGAACCCCAGGAAAACATGGCCCACCCACCAGCAGGTGCCAGCCCATGTGCGGGCCCCGTGTTTTTTAGATAGGTGACTTCAACATTCTCTGTATTCTTTCAGCCTGCTCCTTTCATCTTAGGATCAGGTTCCCGCTCTTCACTTTCTCAGTTAAGCCAGTTGTTGGACTTTCAGTACAGTCTTGCTGAGCGGTTTTGGGTGTGGTGGTCTGGGAGGAAAGAAACCTAAGTGTCACCAGCAGGACGATGATGTGGATCACCGTGGGTGGCTTTGACTGGGGCCGAGAAGTTGCTGTCTGCTTCCGGGTACAATTTTTACTTACAATTTCCTTGTATCTTTTCTGCCTTTCACTTCTTCTGTTCCCTCTCAGTTAGCTATCTCTCCTCTGCATGAGTGGCTGGGGGAGTAGTTTTATGGGGAGGGAAGACTGGGGACACTGGATTGTTTCGAAAATCTAGATTTTGGTGTTTACAAATGATTCCTGCATGCCAAAATGTTAGACATATCCTGTGTCCTTAAAGTAGTTTTGGTACTTCTGACCGATAAGTAGCAAAGATTGCAGATTATTTCCCCTGTTGGGAAATGACAATTAAAAAGAAAATCTTCTCCCGCTGAGAAATCTCCTTCACAAAGGTAGTAGAGAAAGAAAACACTTTATTACTGGATCAGCATTAAGGCCCCAAGTGCAGCAATGGGTGTCACAGGCAATCTGCTTAGAGATTGTAGATGGAGTCGTCTCAGCCCAAACACAGCCGGGTGACCAGCCCATCACAGCTAGGTTTCTAAGGTGACCAGAGAGGAAACCCTCAGGTGGGAGGGTCCTGCGGCCTCAGACTTCCTGTGCACGTTACACTGGTCGTGGGAATGACAGTGACCGTCTGTGCTAGCTGATGGCCTGCTCCCGAGGAGAGCGAGTGCCCCGTCTCTCCAGCAGGAGGAAGTTAAGGGGTGATGCTGTCTTCTTCCATGCCTGCTTCTTTGAGTGGTGGTTTCCAGGTGTGGAGTGAGATGGTCCAGGCCGCCAAGCTGGTAAAAGGAGATAGGTGCATTTCCGAGAGAGGGAGATGCTTCTACAGAGAGTTTTTCTGAAGTAAATGCTCCAAGGAAAGGAAGGAGGGAAGTCCCTCCCCTTCCTTTTAACAGGGAGAATTAAGCCTCTTAGTTTTAATTTGTATTTGCTATTACATTACTTTTATTTACTCTATGTTAAATAAAAAGACCTTAATCTTAGTAATCATGCAGTAGCACTAGAAGGAACAGGGGTGACTTAGTTACACACTATTTAGTTTCATTGAATATAAACTTTCGAAATTGCTAATCCTACATTAATAGCTAGGATTGTTTTAAGAAAAGAATAGTGGTATCAGCAGTTCCTCCTGTTACAGGAACAATTCGCCTTGCTCCTAGCGGGTGGTCCCTGCGGTCTCAGCCCTACAGCTTGGCCCCGGGCGTAACTAATGGTGATGCAATTCTAAGCAGATTGCATGAAGGATTTTCTTTTAAAAACAACAAAAAGGGCATTTGTTTTCTTTTTGTTTCGATTTTGTTTTTGCAGTCCTGGGGCTGGGACCTAGGGATACCTTCCCCATGAGCTGCATCCCCAGCTCTTTTTAGTTTGAATTTTGAGATCCAGTTGTGCTCCGCTGAACTTGTGCTCCTCCAGCCTCTGCCGCTCAGCGCTTGGATGACAGACGCGCACCACCACACTTGGCTCGTCTTGTTCCTAAACTCACTAGCAGTCATACCTTAAAGATTCCCTCTGTTGCCCTTCAGTAAAATCAGGAGAGAAACACTATTTGGTTATCGTTTGTATGGTACTAAATTACAAAATTCTTAGGGAGGAATTAGAGTCCCATGAGTGGTTCCAGCCTCTGTGTGACTGTCCTGCCAGCCTGGCTTCCCCTCAGCCCCTCCTGACTTTTCACCGACTGCCTTCCTGGCCCGGGGATCGCATTCTGAGATCTCACACAGGCCACCCGCTTGTTGACAGGCCTTGTGACCGCAGCAGCTGCACGCTCTGACTTTCCCCGACTGACGCCGGCTGTATGTGGTTCTCTGCTTCCTTTTGGAAGGACTACCTGGGGAGTGCTTCTGGAAATTCACTCCTTCTCCTTGCCCCGAGCCTTTCCTGTTCCTGACCCTGGGGTCACCTCCCGCCAGCCTCTGCCTCTCCTCTCCACAGTGCGCAGAGAGCAGCATGCGTGTAGAATGGGGAAGCGTCCACATCAGCGTTTCTGATTTTCCTGTTAGGAGCCTCTCCGCATGGAAGTGAGAATTGAAGACTAATTACATAAACGACTAAGCTCTGAAAGAAGTTTACAGTGTCTGCCTCTCTGCAGCTCTGCTACAGAGTACCTTGTCACTGGAAAAGGCCCAATTAGCTACATTGCCACCTCCACTCTTTAAATGGGTCTCAGGGTTGTTTTTAACAAACATAGCTGAAGACAAGATGCCCATTGCCGAATAAGCCAAGTGTCTCATGTCTACAGTTACTTTAAGAGATGTCAAGTGAATTGGAACTTAAGGAAACTCAGGAACATTAGAAAAGCTATTTTTTTTTTTCTTTTTAAAGTATAGAAGTTCCTGGCCAAGCATGGTGGCACACACCTGTGATTCCAGCACTAGACAGGCTGAGGCAGGAGGATCACTGCGAGTTGGAGGCCAGCCTGGGCTACACAGCGAGACCTTATCTAGTGAATAAAGTTTAGAAGTCCTCCTCTGTGCAGTCCTGCTCGGTCCTGCCTTTGACGTCTTGCTCGCACGGTCTTCCGCCCCTGAATAGTGCCGTGGGGCACCCTGTGTCCCTTGCTGTTGGCCTGAGAGCTGCTGCCCTGGCAGCAGGGACCTAGGGGCCCTCATGGAAGCTCACTGTGCCTGGCATTGGTGTCCCTGTGTGTGGGCCCGAGGCGGTGGCACGGCCCCTCACAGCACGGCGGTGACACCACTGTGCCTGCCGTTGTGGCCTCCACGCTGCTGTGATTAATAAATAATGGGCTGTTTATCTTGAAATTGTGTTTATTGGCAGCTGACCTGGAAGTCTCAGAGGCCGCGTGTGAATGAAGAATGCCCTCGTTGTCTATTCAGCGCCCGTTGTTGTATTCCACGCGAGCGCGTCTTGGGGAGATTTCTAGAATATCAAGCCACAAGAAAAAGTTAGGCTGTTCTCTCCCTGGCGTTTTCCAGTAGGCCACCAGGAACACCCTGTTTTGCATGTCTGTCCCTGGTGGCAGAAGGCAAGAGGCAAAAGGAAGCATCCGAGGCCTGGCGGTTTACCATGCAGTCCCACCAGTGACAAACAGCTTAAACAAACGCAGTCCACCTGGGCCTGCGGGCTGTGCGCCTGGCGCCAGGCAGCTGCTGAGCTTTGGAGCAGAAATGGATGGGTCAGCAGGGGAACGGGGACCAGGTGCGGGTGGTGGAGCCTTGCCAGGAAGCCGGCTGCGTCTGGGCGGGGGGAGGGACCATGAGCTTCCGGTGTGCGTGTGGCCGTCATACCCAGAAGGGCAGGAAAGACTTACAGCCTCCTGCCCCCGCTGGCCATGCTTGGACGTTCTCTGTGTCCATCAATCCAGAGGAGCCTGACAAGTAATCGATCCAGTCTGTGAGGAAGGCAGCAGCCACTGTTAGGTGGGGGCCCACTGCAGAGGATCTCACTCTACAAGTGGGAGCTGTGCTAGTGGCGTCTTCACGCTGCGGTAGAAGAACTCCAAGACCGAAACCTGGGGAGCCCCTGTGGAGGCAGAGAGGGAAGCGGGCTGAGAAGGTGGCTCCTGGCCTTTGCCTTGTGGAGTTGGGTGGGGTTAGGGTAACAGCTAACTCAGAAGCCTTCTGTCCTGCACAGCACTGTGTCCGCATTGCCTCTGGACGGCTGGGCTAGGTTGTAGCGATGATGATGAACGTGTGTCGCACAGGACGTAGCCACAATGATGTCATGTGCAAGTGGTCTTCATGCTCCTGGTTACCACTGCCATTCCGCTCTACAAGAGCCAGAAGTTAAGATTAAGATACTTGGCCACGTGGTTCGGACCTCTTCACTGCAGAGTGGAGTCTTCATGAATTTGCAGTATATGTCAGCAGTAGAAGTAATTAGTTTATGTTTTGTTTTTGTTTTTCATTTTTCTTCCGGTACCAGGAGTTGAACTCACGACCTTGTGCTCACCAGGCAGGCGCTTTGCCGCTGAGCTAAATCCCCAGCCCCCAGTTAGTTTATAATACAAGTTTAAATTTTAATCTTTTAGAAAATACATACAATGAAGCATTTTTTTCAGTTGAGTTTATTGAATTTAACTATTAGGAAGTAATAAGCAAATGGAGTTACATCTGAGAATTCTTTATATGTTTAGAAACTAATAAAGGTAGTTTTTTAATGTCACTGTGTTTTATAAAATGGTCACTAGAGTGAAAAAATACTGTTATTTAAGATCAGTCTCTCTTTTAGACTAGACTGATGGGTACAGAGATGGATACAGGCTCCTCTGGATTGATGGATACATCATTTTACCTTTATGTCTGTTGTCCCTATACTACCTGCCTAGTAGGTGTGAGAGCCTGGGTTTGGTGTCCAGCACCACAAAAGAAAGAAAAAGGAAAACAACCTGAATCCAATACACCATTACTGTGTTGTTCATAGTGTATAGTAGGGGTTTACACTCATTCATCCTGTCTGTTTACCTCTTTGTTTCTCATTTTAATATAAAACAAAGCCCAGCTATGAGACACACACACAGAAAGAGTGTATATTTGTTTGTGTGTGTGTGTGTGTGTGTGTGTGTGTGTATGCACTTGCGTGGTGCGAGTTGGATGTACTCAAGTGATGATCTTGAAATTAGAAGTCCCTTATTGTATTATTTTATTTTATTTTCAGGTGCTGGTGAATCTGGAAAAAGCACAATTGTAAAGCAGATGAAGTAAGTAGATTTCAAAGATTCAATTTTTTTCACTGTACCTTTCCATCAGAGGAAATTAAGTGGTCTCATTTTTCCTTTCATCTTTGTAGAATTATACATGAGGCGGGGTATTCGGAAGAGGAATGCAAGCAGTACAAAGCGGTGGTCTACAGCAATACCATCCAGTCCATCATTGCTATTATTAGGGCCATGGGAAGATTGAAGATAGACTTCGGTGACTCAGCTCGGGCGGTGAGTTATGAAGTTTGTCGGTACAGCCCGAGGGGTGAAAGCAATGACTTGTGTGGCAGCACCGTGCTTTGTAACATAGGCTTGTAAATACCACTGTCGTTTCACACATGGGTGGAAGGGAGTAGAAGTTTTACAGGAGCGGGAAATAAGAACATAGGGCTGCAGGCTCCTCTTTACTCTTGCCCTATCCATCAGTTTATTTGGATAGTTCAATATTTACTGTGGTATTTCTTTATAATATAGTGTATTGGGTAATTTTATATCCCTGTATTTGTCACCTTTCTTTTGTTTATTTTTTTATTGTGTTATTTATTTCTTTGAATACAAAGCTTTGGCATTAGCAATTTTATGGGCATCATTTACCAGTCATACCAAGCATTTATTTTTTGTCAGCTTTCTATTACTGTTATAACATACCCAAAGTGATCAACTTAAGAATTAGTAAAGGTTTATTTTGGCTCATGGCTTTGGAGGGTTTAGTTCCTATTGTTTGGCCTGTGGTGAGGTAGCACATCGTGACGGGAGCCTATGCAGGAGAAAGTGAAGAGAGTGGGGAGAGGCCTGGGTACCATTATCTCCCTTAAGGATAGAACCCCACTGAGACCTCCCACTAGGCCACCTTCTCGGAGGTGCCACCATATGCAATGGTGTTGTGAGTTGGGGATCAGCCCACATGTGAGCTTCTGGGGGACATTGTAGATCCAAGCAGAGCAGTCCTGGTCACAAGTTTGTGTAGTTAGTGCCACATAAGCTCTATAAATTCGGCATGTATAATTTGGAAAGCTGAAATGATCTAATTATTTGTTTTTATAACCAGTCTAAAAAAGAGACTGATCTTAAATAATGAAAGCAGCATAAAAGTTTGCATTCTTTGGAATAAGAAAACATTGACTATTAAAAAAGAGGCGTATCAGAATTTTAGAACTAGAAGAAACCCTTGGAAATGAGCAAACTCCACCCATTTATTTCCCTAGTAAACAAATAGGAGCCCATGGAAATCACTGAGAGAAAAGGTGCAGTGTGGGAAGCGGTACCACAGCCTGAGCTGTGTGTCCTTATTGGGTTTGGTTAGAAGTTTTTGGTTTGGTTAGAAGCAGCCCTGGTCTTGTCCACAAGATGCTTTGTTTTCCTTCTGTCCTCCCAGCCTCTTTTCGATTGCTTAATCTGTTTATTTCAACTTTGTCATTTATGTATGGTTCATATGTCACTTAGGTTTTTTAATAACTGATGTAAAACTTGACCTGACCTGAAACCTTTATCCAAATCCTACCATAATTTTAATTTTTTTGCAAACAAGATACATTTGAATATTAGTACTCCTTTGCACTTCTACATTCGTGATGTGTCTGTGTGTATATGCACTACCTCTGTGAAGATTTTCTGTGTAGGGTCTGTAACTTTTTGTCTTAGAGTCTGCTAGTTTATTTTTTAACATCTGGGCAATCCATGTTAAATAGAAAAAAAGAAATGAATGAGAGCAACATTAGAGGATACACATTGAGGCAATCTGTGAAAGAAGTATGATTTGTTTGTGAGCTATTTTAAAGTTTTCTTATAATCTATAAGTTAATTTACACAGTTTATCCTTTTGAATGAAATTTAAAATAATATAATTAAAGTTTTTCACTTAGATTTCAAGATTCTAAGTGAATTTTAATGTATGTGCTTAATATGTGTTTACGATATGATATTACAGCTAGAATTGTTATTATAATGAAGCAGATTAGCATCCATCCTTCTGTATAGTGTGTGTGAGAGAGGAGCAGAGAGAGAGAAGGGAAGGTACAATCTTTTCTAAAGAAAAATCCTCATACAGTACCGTTAACGGTAGTCCTCTTACTGTCGAAAGATGAGTGCTAGCAAGTGGTGGTGAGATTGTGACACAAAGGCAGCCCGAGTACACTGTTGGTGAGGGTGTAGGTTAGTTTATCCATTATGAAAAACAGTGGGGTGATTCCTAAAGAAATTAAAAATAGAACAACTGTAGGACCCAGCCATCTGTCTTCTGGGTACATGGCCAAAGGAGATGAAGGTGCCCCTTGCAAAGACATCAACACTTCCGTTTCACCCTATCGTTAATACGGCAGTCGGACAGGCTCAGTGTGTCTCTCAGCAAACAAATGGCTGAAGAAATTTTTTGATGTGGGTATGTGTGTGTGTATATATATATGTGTATATTTCTACCTATACATACATGTATCTGCACATGTACATGCAAGTATATACACAATGGAATATTGTTCAGACTTTAAAAAAGAAGCTACCATTTTCCACAACATATTGCCTGATCTCACTTATGTGAAATCAAACAAAACAGTCAAGTGTACAAAGATTGAGCATAAAACAGTAGACCAGAGGTTGAGGGGCAATCTACAAGGAATAGATGAGGTATAGGTCAAAGGCTACAAAGTGACAAATACGTGAAATGAAGAAATCTAGGGCTGAAAGGTACAGTGTGGGGACTGATCGAGACCATTTATTTCATTCATTTATCATTTGTTCAACACCCTCAGAAAGCGTTTCTTGTATGAATAAATGATAACTGTATAAATTCCAAATTGAATATTAGATAATATGAGATCTAATTGGATATTAGATAAGGCAAAACTATTCTGGATATCATCAAATTATTTCAGAAAAGACAGTTTAGAAGACTGTTTGGAATTATTAAAAACCATCTTGAAATTTTCTTAGAAATGTTAATCACACTGAGCTTTTTAATCTTTGTTTAAAAGGACTGCACAGAAGGAATCCACTCATAGATTAAGGGGAAGGAATTAATAGAAATTGTGCGCTGTAGCACTTCCCATTAGGGTAATTGAAATCTTTCGTGAGATTCACATGCATGGTGTCCTGCACTTAAATCTTCTTTGTGGCAGTAGGAGAAGCAGGGTTTGTAGCCCGTATTTCAGGGCACAGTGGAGGCTCAGGGCAGGCAGCTTTTGAGAAGTGATTCTAATTCCATATTCTTCTCTCAGTGTATGTTGTTTTGTGCACTCCCCTTCTTTCCTTCCCTCCCTCCCTCCCTCCTCCTTTTCTAAATTTGACCTTAGATTCAGGAGCAGCCACGAATCGCTTTTCCCAGCATAAGCTTTTCCTTTCTCATGCCGCTTTCCGAGGCTGTGCAGTGTCCCCCTGGGAGTGAGAGGCCCCTGGGCACACACTCAGGCCGCTGGCCTTCCCCATCTCCTGAACTTGGCGCCTTCTCGCCTCCTCTGGCTCTGGGCTGTGTTTCTTGCTGCTTTGCCCTGGGTCGTCGCTGTGGTGGCAGCCGGTCTTGCGGGGTGCTGAGGAAGACACAGATGAGGTCACTGTGCCCTGGACTTGAGGACAGGACTTTTGCATGGTGCAGAGTTTCCTCGACCGCAGGGGAAAGCTGATCCACCCACGGGCACAGTGTGGACAAGGCCCCTTGCCATCGTGCCGCGTTCTGTCTCTGAAGTACCCCTTACCGCGAGGACTGGCCCCAGGTACAACTGCCCAGGTACTTGACTTGACAAGTACGAGGGCCCCGGAAGCAGTGTTAACAGTCTTCTGTAGAGCTGCCTGCATCTGTTTTCCCGGAGTCTCACTAACTCAGACATTACCAGCATTTCAATTTTTAACAGCTGATGCATGGCAAAGATTAATTTTTCTTTATTTTCTTTTTATCAAGGTTAAATTGTTGTAGTACATCTTTTCTAGCTGTCCTCTTGGGAACTCCTTGCAATTTCTTTTTTCTGAACTGCTCTGATTTCTGGTAGAGTACTTGTCCTTTTCACAGTGCTTCTCCTGGAATGTTACTATGAAGCCTGCATTGTACACTGCAGATATTTTCCCCAACATTTTTGCTCTTTTCTTGTTATAAAACTTTTTTTGCAAAAAAAAAAACCCCAAAAAACAAAGAAACTTTTTTTGCAGTCAGTTCTATTTTATGTCTTAATACAAGGAAAAATCTTTACCTTACAGTTATTTCGTAGTGTCATTTTTTATATGTATTTCTCCATCTACTTAGAAAAGTTATTTGTGTGTTTTTCTAGATAGGACCTAAATATATGTTATAATCTCATTGTCTGTTGCTGTATAGCCATTCATTAAATTGCGGGGAGTAAGACAAATGAATACCAAGCATCAGCCACAGGCCTTGGTCGTAATAGATGCTCAACAAAATATTTTTGTGTTGCCACTGTGTAGCATATTATACTACGTTATTATTGTCAGAATTATATCATTTTATTTTTTATTGCTTCTTTTTTTTTTTTATTGCTTCTTAATATTCATTGGTATCTGGCATGTTAAGCCCACCCCTCCTGTTGATTTTCTGTCAGATACTAAGGCTGTCCTGCCTTTCTCCTCCACGTGAGCTTTGAGAATCAGTTCTTCTCAACTCTATTGAAACAGAACACACAAAATAGCCTGTGGTATTTCAGTTGCAACTACAGCTTAGTAGTAGGTTGATTTGGTGAGAATTGACTAAAAAGGTGTGACAGTTCAAGAAACAGTGACTAATGTTAGCAGATTTGCAAGCACATCACACAGTAGTTATTTTCAATGAGAGAAAACAAAGATGTTTAAACCACTGGTATGGAGCCATCAAATTTTATGCCCGGTATCCTTTAGAGACCTTCCTCTGCAGGCACATGGTCCTCTTAAGGGCCACTGCAGTCTAGAGCAGTGTGCTTCTAAGGAAGTGACGATCGGGAAGCGCGTGAGCGCTGCTTAGCAAGCCCTGGGCTCTGAGCACTTGGAACAGTGCTGCTGTGAGTGTGGCCAGTGGACCTGTGCTGGCCACAGGGAGGTCAGAATCGAAGGCAGAACTTAAGTAGAGTATTCATACAGCCTTATAGCATTGGACACAGTATGCGTTAACACTGATCACTTTCAAGAATGGATTTAATTTAAAGTAAGCGTTTAATTTTATTTTTTTCTAGTAGTCTTAGTTCTGAAATAAATTGAAAATAAAATAAGCCCAAACACAAGACGGGTCCTTCGTGGACAGTTTGGAGACGCTGGCATCCCTC